GTCAAGCTCTGGGGAGGAGTTTGTACATGGGCACCAGTGTATACACTTGTGAAGCATTGAATAGTGGGCTCTCAAAAGATTCGTCCACGTCCTGACCCCCGGATCCTGTGAATGTGGCCTTATTTGGAACAGAGATCTTTGTAAATGTAATTAGTTAAGGGTATTGAGATGAGATTATCCCAGGTTATCCAAATAGGCCCTAATTCCAATCAATGACAAGTATCTTTATAAAACAGAGGCAGACAGGGGGAGAGAGACAGACAGACAATAGGCACGTGGAATGATGTGGCCATGAGCAAAAGGATGCCTGGTGCCTCTGGCTCCACTGACAGCTGGAGGAGGTGAAGAAGGTTCCTTCCTGGGGCCTTCAGAGGGAGTGGGGCTTGCACTTCAGGTTTCTAAGACTGCGAGAGAGCAAATCTGCACTGTTGTAAGGCACACCATGTGTGGTACCCGCTTACACCAGCCTCAGAGCTAATACAATGATGTACTGCTGCATTTGGTGGTTGCAAACAAATCAAACACCTGGGAGGTATAGAATGAACACAGACATAAAGTAATATGGTGGAATACTCTACCAGAATAAAAGAGGCAAGACGCAAAAGAATACAAAAGTTACAGTTACATTTATATGAGGTTCAGAAACAACAACATTGTACTGTATGTCATTCATAGATGGCTGGATGTTTAAGTGGCAAACGATGATGCAGAACAAGGAAGCAGTTATGGTAGAAGTTAGGGAGGGGCACTGTAGCTCTTGAAGGGGGCTTGGTTGTGTGAGTGCATTCACTTTATAGGTGTAGAGCTACAAAGTACAGAAAGGCCCAGGAAGTAGATATGATGAACATAGTTCTACACCTGGGCCAGACTTCATAATTTGAAAAGTTTGAGCAACACAAATGAGTTTAAGTGACAACTGTTTGAAGACAATGTGTCTCTGTATCTGGAAAGCTCAAGAGAATTACCAAAAAAGGATTACCAAAACAGGAGAATTTAGTAAGCTGTTTGTGTAGATTTAGACAAGCAAAAAGCTAAAAAAGCATGATAAAATAAAATAATCAATTGAACCAAAAAGATAAAATAGCTAGAAGTAAATTTTTTTAAAAAATTATATATTTCTATTAAAATGTTTTTTAAATTTTAATTATTTCCTCATTGAGTTTATTGGTACATTTTAGGTATACAGTACAGTTACATTCATTATTGGGATCTTGTACCTCTACATGACAGGTGGTCTTTGTTCTCATTTTTTTCCCTTGTCCCTGCCCTCCCTTCACCCCCTCCTCCCCTCCACGTTTACAAACACTTTATTTCATTTTTCCATTTTCTCATGTTTTTTTTCTTTTCCCTTATTACCTTTCCCCTACCCTTCCCACTTTACCTACACCTTTAGCCCTTTTCTTCCTATTTCACATTTCTATTTGTATTACATTAAAATAAAAATTTAAAACAATTTTAAAAAGCACCACAAACTAAGTTAAAAATAACAGTGTTGTAGAAAGTATTTGCAGCATGTAAAACAGACTGAGGAGTACTACTAAGCATAAAAAAGAACTACAGTCAGTAGGAAAGAATATGCATCAAGTAGTTCATAGAGGAGACCTCTGGAATGAAGAGCCTATAAACATTTGAAAAGGTGCTCAACTTGACCATACTAGCAATCAGAGAAGCAAATGATAAGAAGGAAGTGCCTATTTTTCTCCATTGGGGTTGTCTAAGGTTGGGAAGCCATGGGAACTCTTGTAGATATTTGGTGTAGGCTCTTTTGGAGAGAAAGTTGATAGTATCTATTTTTAAAATGCCCATGTCCTTTGAACCGAGTACATACACCTTCTTAGTATGCAAGAAAGACATGGTTCATTGCCTCCCCTTCCTGGGAGCTGCTTCCCCTGACACTGGGATGCTCAGCTAGACAATTCTCCTGGAATTCATCAGGGTAGTAGGTGCCATGGGAAGAAGAGCTCATCCGTGGAATGTGAGAAGTGGTGATATGTCGGTCTTCTTTCTGCCTCATCTGCTTGGAGGCCAAGTGCTTGCCTTGGACTTGCACCCTTCTTCTTTTTGTATTTCAAAGCACGCCTGGAAGAAAGCTCTGAACTACAGCATGGAATTTCAGAGCATGGACACGGGGGTTTATTAAATCTTCCCTGTCTTGGCCAACATCCGGGCATTCTCAGCGTTTTGCTAATGCAAACAGCACTGTAGGCACGGTCTTACTCCAGATACTGAGTTAGGTAGGACCAAGCGAGGTGGTTTTAGTGATGAGGACTGTAACAATGTGGTAGCAGTAACAGGGTCCTGGGATGATTGTGCAGCCACAGCTGGTCATTAGTACTCCAACATCAGGGCAGTAGAGATGTGGAAAGGAAGTGATTTGAAGCCTTCATAGTCACCATAACTTGTTAACTTTACCTATGTTTCATGAATTAGTAAGAAATGAACTGATCTTTGATCATAGATGACCAGGGGCTGCTCAGCTCAGCCATATGTGAGTGAGAAACTCTTCAATTTTCCCTAAGCCTGAGTGGTGGATGTAGCTGTTAGGGTTTATATCCAGATGTCCCCTCAAAGCCTCATGTGATCATTGGCACGGCTTTGGGGCAGTGACTGGATCACTGGGGGGCTGTACTCATCAGTGGATTGGTCCTCTGAGGAATTAGAGCTTGGGAGGCAGTCACTGGGAGCATGAACTGGACGAGTGTGTCTTCTTCCCTGGCTCCTCCTTTATACTTGCTTCCTCGCTGCCTTGAGGTGAACAGCTTTCCTCTTCCACTATGCCATCCTGCCTTAGAGCCAGCCAACTGGATTGTAATTATGAGCCAAAATAAAGCTCTCCTCCCTTAGGTCATGGGTGTTGTGTATAGTGTCTCAGAAACAAGAACATGACTAAAAGTAGTGCAGTGGTAGAAGACTCGCCTACCATGTGTAAGGCCTGGGTTCCTTCCCCAGAACTGCAGACAAAACAGTTTCCTATAAGCCACAGCATTATTGCAGGCCTCTTTGTTGAAGCCACCCAGCTTTGCCCTATCTAACTCAACATGTGTCTGATAGCTCACACCTGTACGCCAGAGACTGAGGCGAGGCTGTATGTGCAGTGCTGTTTGTGTTAGCAAAATCCCAAAAATGCCAACCAACCTCACTACTCTGCAGCGCTGAGCTGTAGTTCAGAGCCTTCTCTCAGGTGTGCTTAGTTAGGTGAAGAAAGTGAGGTGCAGGATAAACACAGAGTGCGGTCATCCTCTGTTGTATATAGGCTTGTGAATGTACAGGAAATGTCAGGACAAATCCTGGAAAAGGGAGGATTGGGAGGGTCTGAAGGATGGTTAAAAGGGTCTTTGATTTTGTCATATTTGTTAAATATCTTAAAATGAGGTTGTGTTTCTGTTTTGCTTGTGTGGTTAAAAATAAACTTAAAAATAATACAACATGAAGAATGTTCATAATTTTTAAATAAGAATACAATACAGAATAATTATCTCATTCAATGGTTCGGCAGAGTAGCATCTGTGGCATTAAATAAAGGAACTTTAAGAATGGAATTGAATATATTTAGTTGTGTGACTTCATTTAGGTCATCAGTAGTTTCAGAAAAAGTCCCAGGGGGAATTCTCATCTGCAAGAAAGAAAGAAAGCAGATTGTTCAGGAGGAAAAGCTCTAAAACTATATGCAGTTGTGTCTTTAGGAAACCACCCTTGATTCCAACAATAATAAAGAAAATATAAATAAAACAATAAAGTGTTAGGGAAAAAGAGTTCTCAAAACAACTTTTTTAAAATCACAACTAAACAAGCTACAAAGCAGGCTTTCTGAAAAGCTTCAGGAAAGCAATTACCAAAAACCTGAAAGGGAATCTTATCCCAAGGACTGCTCTAGATGCCCACTATTTTCAGTAGTTAAAGGTATGGGGTTTTTGAGATTTGAGCAAACTTTAATCTTAGGTACAAATTTCCTTTTTGCAGCCCATCTACTCCCTGGGGGCACTGGCATCAGACAGCCTTGGGAATAATTCAGCAACGGCTGGGAAGAGACCTCAAGGCCAACTGTGGGCCTACTCTGAAAGTTAAAGTATGAAAATGGTACTGAGATTATAATCACAGCTATGTTTGGGGATAAATGGCAAAATTATTAATATTATTAGTTATCCTTTGGGCTTTGCCTTTGGTGTTGGACAAAGGTGACTTCAATGCTCTTCCAAAGTTGACTTGGTGATGTGGGACTTCTCGAGGTTCAAGGTCACTAGCTCCCAGTCATTCAGCTCCTCCCATCCGTCCACCAAGCCTGCAGAACAGCTTCTGGGTGTGGGGATTGTCTTAGCCCGATTTTTATGGCTATTACAAAATACCTGAGACTGGGTAACGGATAAAGAAAAGAGGTGTATTTCGGCTCACAGTTCTGGAGTCAGGAAGTTCAAGATAGGGCACCCACATCTGTTGAGGTCCTTGTGCTGCTTCAACTCATGGCAGAACATGGAATGGCAAGGAGTCCATGGGGAAGAAGGTGAATTTTTAGTAAATGATCCATCCTAGGACTGCCAAGGCATTCCTGGGAGGAAGGCATGAGGCCACGCAGAAGCCTTCTGCTGCCATGACCCAGACACTGCTACATCAGGGCTGAAGCTCCACATCAGATTTGGTCAGAACAAACCATGTGTTCACACCATAGCAGGAGCTTCCAAGCCAATACTGAGTCTTCACCAGCCCTGCACCCATCTGCCACCTGCCACCAGGAACTGGCCTCCCTTTCTGTCAGTAGCTTCCTGGAGGGGGGCACAGGTCCAGGCTTCCTGCCCTTAGGAGCTGCCCAGACCTCAGCCTCCTCCCTCCAGCCCTGCTCCGCCACCGTGCGCCCTTTCCCAAGGGCTTTGGGGGAGTCCTCGTCTCCCAAGCACCCTGGTCTCAGGCTCTATGAAGCTCCAGGCCCAGTGGCATGAGCAGAGAAGGCCTCCGCGCCCCTAACCTGGACGTGCTGAAGAATCCTCCAGGTGCACCAGTCCCCCAGCTCAGCGTATCAGCACCTCGTCCTCGTCCCCCAGCTGCTCCACGAGACTCAGCAGCATCATGGACACCGCCATGGGCTCAGCAGCTGGGGTTCCCGCGAGCTGGGGCCGGCCCAGCCCCAACGGGTCCTCCCACACCCAGTGGACGATCTGATCGGTCATCTCCATGGCTTCCCTCTGGGGGGAATGGGGCCGGGCTGAGGGGGGGTCGGCGAGGGCTGCATCACCTGTCCTGTCCCGCACACCCCCCAAGGACACTTCCCTGGCTGCCCTGGGGCACAGGGAGGGGAAGCTGGCAGGTGGACAAAACTGGGAGGGTGGGGAGGAGACACCTGGAGGCACCAAGTCTCGAGAAGGCACAGCAGTGAAAAGAGGCATTTGTGGGTAGAGGGAGCCCTGTGGCAGGAGCTCAGGATTCTGCAGAATTTGCAGTAGGGAAGAGAAGGTCTGAACCTCTGGTGAAGTTGGCCTGTGCTAGGAGCTGGGACACAGAACACAGAAGGACTGAGAACTCCAATCCCAGCTCCTAATTGTGAAGTAGCTGAGTCTGGGCCCCACCTGTGGAAGTGACACAGCTTGTCACTGAGGGGCTCTTGGAGCACCGGTGGCCCACTGGGCAGTGAGCAGCTCTGGTACACAGCCAGGGCCAGCCCTGGAGCCACCTCCAGAGGGAAGAGCAAGCTGGTGGCAGGTGGACCAAGAACTGTGGTGGGCAAAGCAGAGGCCAGGGGCACAGGGAGGTGGGCAGAGTCAGGGGCAGGGAGGGGATGGAGAGGTGCCAGAGAGGGACTGCACGCTGCAGAGCCTGCAGGCAGAGACGGGGGCGCTGGTGGGCAGACACTGTGCATGTTTGTTTGACCCTGCAGCTTCTTTTAGTTGGAAATGTAAACCGCACCCACTAAAGTGTAGAAATCCTAGGAGTGCAGCTTGGTGGAGGTTTCTCGCAGGTCCCGCTTGTGGTGACATCTTGGGTCCATGTCTGTTTCCCTCTTGAGGGCAGGGACCTTGACATTTGTTTTTGCCTAAGACCACCACAGCAGGTGCTCAATAAATGTGTGTTGAGTAAAAGATCAGAAAAGGGATTAGGGGTGAGGAAGCCGAGGGATTTTTTCTGACCTATTTTGCTTAGGAAGAAACCCAGAGCAGTGTTACTCTGTGGCCAGCTTTGGAAGGAAATGCATTTTGACCCAGTATCTCAGGTCGGCACATGAAATAAATGCCTGACTGTTGGAGGAACTGCTAAAGGTGGCCCGAGACAGCTCTGCACCCCTCAGGATGGGTCAGGGGACCGTGGGGAGGAAGCTAAAATGCAATGAGCATCAGAGCAGAAGTCATTTCTCTATGCGCTGGTGGCCCCTCCTGGGTGGGACTGGGACTTTCACTAGCAATGTGCTGGGGCCAGAGGGTGTGACGGGACGGGATGGGAGCTTGAGCTGCTGTGTTTTATAGCAGATGTGTCCCAGGGGCCTCATGTGCTCATAGGCTGGGATTTGGGAGATGATGGGATCCTGGGGGCTCCGCTGAACTGCTGTTAGGAGGCAGGGTCTGGTCAGAAGAGGCGGTCACGGGAGTGTTGGCCTGGAAGGGGCTATCTCCCTCCCTGCCCCTCCCTTCCTTCTCTGCTTCCTGTCCACCAGGCAGTGAGCAGCTCCCCTTTGCCATGCTGTGCTGCCTTGGAGCCAGTAGTCTCTGGGCTGAAACGTGAGCCAAGATAAAGCTCTCCTCCGAGTTGTGGGTGTCGGGTTCTGTGTCTCAGCGATGAGGGAGTGACTAAGCCAGGACCAGGGTAGCAAGCTGAAGACTGCCAGGGGTCTGCAGTCTTTGCAGTCAGTTTGGATGCCTGAATGTTCCAGTTGGAGGCAGAGTCAAAAATCACAGCCTTGCTCCATCAGATGCCTTCTTGTTTGTTCTATCAAGGAGTCACCGGGGAAGTGACCAGGCTCCGGAAGGCAGGGGCACAGGGAGAAGGGCAAGGATGTTCTTAACAGCCTCACTGAGGCCCACAAGGCCCCCACTGAGGAGTCCCAGGCTCACCTGGACCGTAAGGGCATGCAGATGGGAGTGTCAGCAAAAGAGCACACCATGGAGCCAGTAAAGCAGACAGAAGGCTCTTCCCCAATGGCTTGGAAGAGATGGCCAGGCCAGGGCAGGGGCTTTGGAAGGCAGCTGCCCAGTCACAGGGGTCAGGCATCCTGCCACCTGCCTGCAGCTGTACCGGGCTAGGGGAGTTGACAGCAGTATGAGCAGGAGACACTAGAGGAAAGATGACACAGGCCCTGTCTGGGTTCCCGCCAGAAGCCAGGGAGACAGCTGGCAGGGGATGGTGCTACCTTCTGTTGACCTTTGCCTCGGGCCTCCCACTCTGGAGCCTACTCTGTGCTTGTCCCTCCACAGCAGGGCAGCTGTCATCGCCAGTGAACCCTGTTTGCATCTGGAAGGGTCACTGTTCACCAGAAAGAGGGCCAGCCACCGGCCACGGGGAGGACGGACACCCTCACCCCCCATCACTCTTTCCTGCTCCCTGAGACAGTAGCAGAAATCCTGGCCTTATCTTCTGCTTTTGTCTAGCATTCAAACCAGGGAGTCCTAGCAGAAATGGGGCCAGGCACGGGCTGGATGAATGGAACAGCTCAGAGCTCCCGGCAACCCCTCCCCCACCAGGGTGCCTCCTCAGGCTGACCTAGTCAATCCCAGCAGGGACCGAGACAGCACTGGGACCCCCACAAGCTGGTGGCTTTCCTTGTGCAGAGCTCCATGGTGTGGAGAAAGGACCCAGGGAAGAAGCGATAAACCAAGCTTTGACAAAATAAGCCAAGGAAGACCAATGCCATTTAACATATATTTATTGAAATCTACTCGATGCAAGGCACTGTGCTAGATTTGGTAGGGGATCAGACATGAGGGTCACCCCTGTCTTCTAAGAGCTCACAATCTAATGGGTGGGGGAGGGTTTGGATGGGAGAGAGGAGAAGCCAAGTCCACAAACAGCTCTAGTGCAAGGCTGATTATAGTGAGAGCCAGAAAAGAGACTAGGGAATGAGATCTGGGAGGGACAACAAAAAAGCGTCCACAACTGAAATACAGATCAGGGCAGGACACAGCTACTGTTCTCAGAGATATGCAGGGAATGATGAGGGTCAAGCTTAAAGAGATCATTTCTAGTGTTGAAAGTAAACATCCAAACTGATGCAATGAGAACTATAGGATATAAGTATACTATTAAGAGAGGCATTATCAATTCCCCAATCTGATGAATTGGCTGGAAACAGCGAAACACTTCCAAAATAGAGAACAGGGTGGGTTGAGAACAACTCATTATATGATGAAATGCTGGTTCAGGAAAGGAGCAATACGCAGACAGAAAGCCATTGGTTAAACTCACTGAGACAGAAGGCATAGACTTTCACCCATCCTAGTGAACAGAATACGGTACCACATTTAAACAGGTGTCACAACAGTCAGGTGGGACTTGGGCCAGGGATGTTGGCTGGGGAGAACTCAAGGAATGCCAGCAATGCGATTCTTCTCACAAAGCAGCCAAATGGTCAAATGTAATTGGCTAGTGGACAAATTGCAAAAAGTGGAGACTTAAACTGGCTCAAGTCAAGGGGCAGGTCCTTGCTAGGGGCACACATGGACTGACAAGAAGCAGTTGCCAGCAGTCCAAGAACACAACGCAGTCAGGCCTCCCTTGGTGTGCTGGGAGGGAGGCACATTGGTCAGTCCAGGAAAGACCACGGATCTTCAACTTGGTGCTGCCCACAGGGGCAACTCTTCTACATAGTATGTGCATGGCCTTCTTTGTGATCCAACTGCAAATGCTGGTTTCCTTGTTTGCTTTCCTCAGACTTGAAAGGCGCAGTCCATGGTCTCCGGCCAGCTCTGTGGACTGCTGGTGCCCTTGGGTTGGGCGTTCAGTTCTGTTTTAATGAATGCAGCCTAGAAGGGGGGTGGTGAGTCACATGGTATGCAACAGAGCCACAGCCCCGGGATGCGGGCAGGGCAGATGCTGTGCCTTACCACTGCAGGCACAAAACCAAGTGTGCGGAATACAGATACCGCAGGAGAAAGACGTGACCAGGTGAGGGTTACTCCAGAGATGCAAGAGCAGGGTATGACACAAGAAGCAGCGAAAGTGGTAAACAATTCCTTCCTTTTGAAAATTTCAGCAGATATCCAAAATACTAATGAGGAGAGCAATGGAGGGTTTCTTTCTTACTGTGGTAGGAAAGAATATATTTTCATCAAAAGCCAGAATTACATGTAACCCAGCTGCTCTCCATTTCCCTTGCGATAGGAATACACGTGGTTAGAAAGAAAAGTGAAATGAGGTAGATACACAAATGCACAGACGAACACAGCAGGATGGCTGCTCACATCTGCCTCAGACAGAGCAATGTACCTGGAGAATCCAAGGAAATCCACCTCCTCGGTGCCCAAGGCGGAAGGTGAAGTGGCGAAGCTATGGGACACGGGTTAAAGCCACAGAATGATTGCATTTGGAAAGCGTGGATTTCACTGCCAATGCCATGGAAAGCCGCTACGTCAATGGTGAAGTAAAAGTATTAACTCTACACGAGGATTTATTTGAGAGAAAATTATAGAATCAAAACTAGAAAAAAAGTACCAAGGAGGGCAAGAAGGGACGTCAGGTACCATGGCCCAGCTGGGAGCAGTGAGCCCTATGCTATATGCTGAATCAATGCTTATCTAGACTTCTGTGGAATTCTTCATGTCCAGCTGGACAAATGGCCAACTAAATGGTCAAAGAGATGGCAGAACCCTTCGAGGTAAAGGTGCTCAGACTTGGCCCTGGCACATGTCGACATTCCTTACCCAATGGCAGCTATACAAAACTTGCCCTGACAGCTTGAAAAGGGAAAACTGGTCAGAGAAAGCAGTAAGTTCACACAGAATCACAACCACCGCAAGAACAGAGCCCAGAGCAAAGGGAATCGCTATGTAACAGGTGCTGTTGGTTTCTCTCCATCCTGGAGATCAGGATGGAGATGTCCCATCGGGCCACCGTGGTGGCCTTGGGGCCATTGGGGAGAACCTTCTGGCCAAGGTCACAGGGATCACTGTCAGACCCTGCTTCCCGGGAAGGGGCCTGGGAAGCCATCCTGGTAGTGCCTACACTTCTGCTGCAGGCCCTGGCCTCCAACGCCCCCCACCTCCACCCCGGGACACAGTGGCTGGGAGGTAGTGCCACAGGCCCAGCGTGGCTGGCTTCCTAGCCAGCCCTTGCTGCTGTTCTTCTTGGGGGAGGTGGCCACCACTGACGCCCAGCCCCAGGATGGACAGCTTCTATTTCTATGCTTCAGAGCCACCAGAAGGGCCTGGTTGCTCCCTGTACCCTTGCTTTACTGTCCCCCTCGGGCATGGCTACTGCAGTCCTGGTCCCAGCTTGGTGCAGCCAGCTTGTCAGGATGACACACAGGCCATCAGAGAGACAGAGCTTCTCTCCAAAACTCTGTTCTGTCGCTCATCTTAGGTGTGGCTTTGGAAGGTGACACTAGCACAGGTGGGCAAATAGCTCCCTAATTGCCCAAAGTAGAGGCCACCAAACCGATCTTTCTCATGCCAGAGTCACTTGCTGGGAGGGAGATCAATCAGGTGAGTCTTCTTGTGTCCCAGGAGATGGTGTGCTTGGGTGGATCTGCTGCTCAGTTACTGAATCCATTGCCAAGGCTCTCGGGAGCTTGGAGGTGGGCCAGCTGCTGCAAGACCCAGTGTGTACCCAGTGTGTACCAAGCCCTGCTGCCGGCGGCCAGGGTTGTCCTGGTGAGCGGTCATGGAGTGCTCCGCGCAATTCGTGGCAGACGTAACTCTAGTGTGCCTCAGTGGCTGGCTAGGACAGTCAAGTGCTGTCCACAGATACATGCAGAGTCTGCATCTGAATGAAGAATGGGCCCGTTTCTCGGGCCCATTCCTTTCTGGCCCACCCACCTCGTGCATTCACCTTCTGGTGGGCAGGGTTTCAACTTTTCATCTGTAATTAAAATTCTAGAAGAAAATGTCATCATATCTAAGTACTGCAGCAATGAAAGTTATGACCTACAAAACCAATACTGGGATATGTAAAAATCAAAAGCTTGCACAACAAAACTGTAATAAAAAGCGCTATAAATAGCAAAGCGATAAAATTGGAAAAGAGAACATCACAATTGATTTAGAAAGAACTGCAATATAAAGTCAATATATCCAAAGGTAACTTGATAACCAGTCAAAGGAGATGAACACATAATTGCATGCAAGAAAACAGAAGTGCTCTTTAGGTTGTCACAAGAAAAAAAGATGACACTAGTGCTCAGGAGGTCTGGGATCCATCCCCAGATGTGGTATTAATGAGCTGTAGAATGACAGCAATAACTATGACGATGACAGCAGATGACCTTCTCGCCCGGCTGGTGGTGCTGCTGTCCTTCTGACAGCCTTGGCAGGTGGGTACTGGGACTGCCCCCCGATTGGCAGAGCTATAAACTGGAGGGTTGGAGAGGTACCATCGAGGCCCAGTACCAGGAGAGTCTCTTGCTCCCATCAAGGAGGTGCCACCTTACCCTTGAGTCTTGAAGACACCCTTTTATTTGGGGCCTCTCTCTTGCCTACTTCATTTTTGAACACAGTGGTGCTGCTTGAGGACAAGACTGAATGCCACCGATAATGTTTATTTTGGGTAGGTATAAGAGTCACCAGATTGAGTTGGATTGTGGGAAAAAAGAGGCAAGAACATTTGACCTAGATTAATTTTTACCAGGAATATGACCTCAAAAAGATGGATGAGATGCTTAAAAAGCAGCCTTTTAAAGGGTCATTTGAGAAAGCACCACCCTAAGTGGTTGCATTGCAGAGTTACATGACTGATAAAAAACACACAAAACAACTGTCCTAATGTTTCAGGAATGTGTTCTTATGGCTTTGGAGGAAGTTTCTGCTGAGAGCCTTATGTAAAGATTGTCACAGTGCTACCCTGCAAAGCCCGGATCCAAGTGACCGGATGTGCCAAGACTGGTGACTGAAAGGGTTCCCGTGTTGCTGAATTCACGGGTTGTTAGACTAAAACTATTCAGAAAACGGAGTGTGGCAAAAAGGCGTATTTTCTAGAGTAATATATTATTCTGTATCATATCATATGTGATTTACAATATGTATGTATAACTAAATTAATAAATTAAATACCATAAAACATTTGAGTATTCTATTTACATCCCTAAAAATTTATAAATCCAAGTAGGCCAAAAATCTTTCGGGGCACCCTTCCCATCCCGGCATGCCCCAGCCACATCTCTGTCATACAAGGCATGAGGGCTGAAATACCTCGAAGGCCAGGTCAACTAGCGGAAGTCAGCTCAGATGGGCAAAGCTACTCTCTAATGGGAAGCATGGACACTTAGAAATTGCTGGTGGCAGTAGAAATCGTTCAGCCTCTCGGAGGAGGATCCCATAGCTAATTGCTACCTACCGAAGCGCTCCTCTCCTTTGACCCCGGGGTGGCCCTACTCGCGGTGGGTGGGCTGATGCTTCTGCAGCGCCGAGCGCCTCTTGAACACGCGGCCGC